GGCACCAAGATTAACTGAAGAGACATATTAGAAAAATATTCTGGAAGATAAAGATATCAAACTGTATTCATCCACAAAGGTTTTTCACCCAAGATAGGATAGGAAAACAAGGGACGCCTGGGTGTCTCAGTGGTTGAGTGTCTGCCTTTGGCTCAGGGCGTGATCCTGGAGTCCCAGGATCAAGTCCCACATCGGGCCCCTGCATGGAGCCTGCTTCCCCCTCTGCCTATGTCTCTGCCTCTCTCTGTGTCTCTCATGAATAAATAAAATCTTAAAAAAAAAAAAAGGATAGGAAAACAACTAATCATTTTGGCGGGGAGGGGGTCGCTCTTCAAATTACTGCAAGGTAGCACAGATATTTCTAAAAATACTTGTGGAATAAAAGTTTATCAGATTACCTATTTTTATGGTTGTACAATTGAAAAGAAAATGGAAAAAATATCTTTCTTCTGAGACTGTCTTACCTCCTTGGACCTTACTTTAGTCAACCTCTAAAAATTACTGTGTATCTCTGCAGAGGCACCACACGAAATTTAGATTCCATTCCTTTAGAAACAGGGCTGAGGAGAGGCCAGTTCCTCACCAAGATCAGGGCCCCCAAAGCTGCAGGGAATGCTCAAAACCAGGGCCTACCCAACACTTTTTCTTAGCCTGGCAATCCAGCTTGCTCTCAACTGCCACAGATATGCAAATCCAAGCATGTTCTTTATCTCCTCTTTAGAAGTTTTATTTTCATATTCAATTCAATTAAAGAATTGTACAGAAATTATCTTTTTTAGAAGTGTAAAAATTACTGGAAAAATTACAAAAGTTGGTATCTACACTGAGGCTGGTGCCATCATTCCTTGGCATCTCAGAAGCAAGGATAGATTTACTACTAAGAACTCTACTGTGCCTGCCTAAGAGCAAGCTAAACAGAAGCCAGTGGTAAATGCCTTCAATACTTTTTGAAAAAAATCCATCAAAGGTTTTGCTGAATGATATTTATAAGGGCCTTACTGTTCTCTTTCAAAAACTGAAATGCCCTTCTCCGACACTCGAAAAAAATCACTTGTGCTTTTCATCTTCCCGTCTTAGAGTGTAAACATTGTTTTGAGTGAAAAGAGCTGAAGGAGCGCTTGCTTTCCCTTGAAATTTTATTTTTAAATAAGAGAGGGAGAAAATCCTTTTTCTGACTAATACTAATAATACAGGTCAAAGTGTCAGGCAATATACAATTAAATGGAAAACAAAAAAGGTTCCCCCTCTTTTTCCCACAGCACAATGGCACTGGAATATAAATTACCGATGAAGATGAAATAATACTTCAAAGCCTGTAGGGCAGGGCAGTGCAGTGTTTACAAAGTATTTTCTATGGCATGATGAGACATTAAAGATGATGGTAACCCATGGGCTTGAGAGTGTTACTGAATAGTCTCAAACTAGCATGAGGTAGGATTTTAGGTCCCTATAGCCCGTGACCCCATGATATGCTTTGTTTCACAGGGCAGCTGCAGTTATCAACAGATGTTTCAGCAATAAATAATTGGTATCATCTCAGAAAAGACCCATCTACCTGGGGAGAGGGCATAATACCAAAAACACTGCCCAGCTATTACAGCCACATTCATCTCCCATCTCTCCAGGTTTCTTGGGGAGCGTACTGCAGGTGTTTTTTCTGGGAGAGAGCGAACAAACTCTCTCAAGTCAGCAAGCTTTGTGTGGAATGTAAAAGAGGTTGGCCCCTGCCATAAATTTCTGTCTGTGGCCACACACCAAAGGAGAAAAGATTCGGGGTAGGAAAGGAGGGGGGTGCATATAGGGAGGTAGGAAATGAGGGAGGCCGTGGAGAACAGAAAGAGAAGCATACAACATATATAATTTTCTTGATTATGTTCAGTCTAAGGAGAATAACATTATAAATGACTCTTAATTTCACCAAAACTCAGGCACTCAGCATAAGTCTATGCTTAACTTTGATCTGTTATTCGTGGAATTAAGTTTAATTAAATTAAACTTAGCAGTGTTTACACTCTAAGTGTAATGTGAATTTTAAAAGTAGAGGGGAAACTTTTTATGGGAAGGATTCATTTCAAGGCAAAGAAAACCAGGGCAAGTTTAGATTTGTGAAAAAACCGTAAGAAGAGATAACTTGGCTGAAAAGACAAGGTCAGCAGCCTTTGACTAATTTTTTATTTCAGAACAGAGTCTCATAATTAATTGATTATTAAATCATGGCCATCCAGTTTCAGTAAAGTATAATATTGAAATCAATGGAGAATGGGATAAAAACAAATCATGGAATTCACTTGAGATACTTTTGACAAGCTAAGATATCAAAAGTCACATGAGTTCACAGAGTGCTATAGTTCTCTTATTTACAAAACAGAGTGGTTTGGTAATTGTGCACTTGGGGTCTGACACAATAGGAAAGCATCCTAAGAGTCTTTAGGAGGTGTGGTTACTTAATTTATAGCTTGCTGGGGAAGCTAAAGAAAATGATGCTGAGAGTTCAAAAAGCTCCCAGGTTAAATACATCAGGGGCTAAAGAAGCCTAATGGACTGATTCTTAGAGCTGCCACTAGTAATCTTGTGAGCTGGACACAAACATCTTAAATTCCCTATGTCTCATTTCCCCCAACCACGACATCCGTGCAGTATACAGAGGGAAGGTAGAAGAAATAATAAATGGATCCTTAAAACGGTCTAACTAAGCAGCTTGTCTCCCAACTCACATTAACCGCCAAATGCACCAATACCAAATTTTCAAAAGTTTTTCTGCAAAAGTCACTATCAGCTTCATGCACTGAGGGGGATCTGGTGGTTGTGGGATGGACTGGTTATGGTGGTGTGCTCTGTCTCCCCCACTCAGCCTATGTTTGAATTTCAGAGGAACTTTCTAAGCCCCAAAGGTCAAAAGCAGGGTTCCCTCCTTCTCTGAAGCGATCCTGTTCTCACCTTCTTTGGAAGGCTTGAGAGTTCTATGCCACCAATGGCCAAATCACCCAAGGCTCTCCAAGCAAGTAAAGCAACTATTGGCTTTTCAGGAGCTGGTCTCAGTCTAAACAAGCTCCTGGAATTGATGGGAAGGAGAGTTTGCTTTTATTGTTGGTCTCCTGCAACCTTCACATTGGAGTCTCCTTTACACCTTACCTTGCCCCTTCTCCCCTCATATCCCTGGTCAGGCTCTCTGATTTTCCCCTTCGCTCTTCATCCTATTCTTTTATTTAGAAGGCTGGTTCTCAAACTCAGGCATGCACAAGAATCATCCGGAGGGCTTGGCTAATGCTCATTGTTAGACTCCCAGCCCCAGAGTTCTTGATTTGGTAAGACTGGGGACGGAGGGTAAGAATCTGAATATCCCACACATTTCCAGGTAATCAAGGGCTCCTGATGTGAGGTCTTATTTTAAGCATCACTGCTAAAGAGCTCCCTGTTCAATAAAATAGTAGCCCTAGTCACATGTGGCTATTTATATAGAAAATGATTTAAAAAATTAAATAATACTAAAAAAAATCAGTTCTTCAGTCATATTTGCCACTCTTCAAGTGCTGGAGAGCCATAGCTGGCCAGGGTCTAATGTATTGGGCAGCAGAGATATGGAACATTTTCATGATTGCAGCAAATTCTACTGGACAGCCTTACATCTTGCTTTAGAGTAAACAAGTCTCAAGGATTCCACCTGACAGAGAATTGGCAGTGAGATGGAGGAAGGAGTAGTGCCACCACTCACTGGTCTGTTCCCCTGGACACATTAATTTCCCTGCACCTTAATTTCCTCATCTGCAAAATGGGGGTGATGATGGTAATAACCGGAGGGTCGTTTTGAGAATTAAATGAGGTGATTCATGTGCAAGCACTTTGTAAAATCTACAGTGACAGACAAATTATAGTTATTATTCCATTCTGCTTTTCCACCTATACCAAGACTGCAAATTTAAAATCCTTGGCTCATCACTGCCTTTTTTCCAGATATTCATTCTCCTTTGCCTACAGTTCCCAGTCTACTTAGCCCCAGTCTATTTGTTTATTTTTGGGGGGAGGGGTGTGGGAAAAGTGGGGGTTTTACTATTTTTATTAAGCCTCCAAAAAATGCCATTTTATGTATGTAGATCAGGGAATCTTTCTCAGATTTCTGTTTTGATAGGCAAAGACAAAGTCTATACATTCATTTTAAGATGATCCAAAAACACATTCCCATATAAACTGAAACAAAGATTTTAGGATATTATCAGTGCTTGTAATGCCTGATCTCCAGGTAATTAATATTTTTATATGAGAAAAAATATATATAAAAGCTAATAGACTCTCTTCCTTGGCAATTGTCAGAGAGACTGTAGGTAACACACAATGCTACCAAAAAGAATAGTGGCACTCCTTGTAGCATCCCCAGAACCTAAGGCTGAAATCTGAGCTCAAGTCTGAGTTCATGTGCTATTCCTGAGGCCTTCTTCTATCCAAGGTAGAGATATCAGTTTGATTAATTTCCAGTAAGAGAGCTGAGGAATAAGCAGGTCAGTGACTCTGATTCCATGCTTCCTGAATAGCCTGTGTCGTGAGGAGATAAGGGAGTGAGGAGGATCCTGGGTTTGGGCAGGGGGTGGTGGGTATGCGGCAGACAGCAAGTCATATTGATGGAATTATGGTGAATTTATTTTTTTAAGCTAGTCAGCTTTTAAAAAAAAAGCATTTCAAAATAAAAATGTTATGACATATGGCAGGATCAAAACTACCGCTTCCAGCCTACCAAGGATATAATACATATTTCTGGATGGCAGGTTTCTTGATAGACCCACTGACCACCCTTCTTCACTTTTACTTGATTTGGCTTTCCAACAGAAGGCCTTATAGGCAAGCAATGTTTCTAAAAGGTATTTCCCCCACATTAGTCAATCTGGCAGAGCTGACCATAAGGGTAGGGGCTGTCTTATGCTTCAAAGAAATTTAATCTATTAGACCACTTAGAGACTAAATGCCTCACTTTGGGGTGTCAGAGGAACAGGTGGTGTGGCTTTTCCTACCAGTAACTGCTGCAACCCGGCGCCAATCACATCCTGCAGGTTTGTTTTGTCCTCTGGGCCCACGGCTTGTTTGTACTGCCACTTTTCAGGCACGAAGGGCCACTTCATTTCCTTTGCCTCCTGGATCAGGGTCCTTAACTCGCTGGGGAGTGAAGCTGAAAAGGTCAGAGTTCAGGTAAGGAAATGGCAGTCAAAGAAAAGGTTGTTGAGTTACCAATGTTATGATGAAGCACCTCAGTGGCAAAAAAAAAAAATTTTTTTTTCCTACCTCTTGCTGGTTAGTCTAAAGCTGGTGGTTCTGACTCAAAGAATAATAGCGCAAAGCTATCTGTCAGGGGTGGCCCTGGTCTACTTTGCCCTTCAGGTAAATTGGGGTAGTCAGGCATTAAGAAAGGTTTTTAGCAGGAAGTAAAACACTTCAGTGACTATCTCTGCATGAAGAATCAGAGAAAGGAATGAAGGAAATATTATTTTCCTTGTAAAATGAGAATGGGCCTGTGATGGAATGACACCTGGGACTTGTGGCAGCTGGGTAATGCAGAGTCAATTTGTACAAACTCTTTTTACTTCTCCAAGACCTCACCTCACTTCATCTCATACTTTCACTATGGACTACATTTGAATATAGACAATTAAAACAAAAAACCCAAGTGCAATTTGAAATGGTATCAATGTATTCTGAATGTCCCTGTTTTACATTAGTAGATACATTTGATCTCTTCCTGGGTGCCAAACCTAATTATAGAGGTCTACAATCTCCTTTCCAAACTTGGAAAACGCAAAAAGCTCTGGAAACGAGAATGTTTTTTCTTAAGTTTAGCATCCAAACCAGACTTGAATTGACTAAAGGCTCTTTATGGTCTTATCTTACTTAGTGAGATTAGCCAAAAGTTTTGCTGCAAAGATTTTAATGTTTGACTGTAGATGTTGCCCCAACTTCTGCTGGAGTGTGAATGTAACAGATGGCCCCTGTACCAGACTATCTTCCTAACATTTGAAAGAATTCTGAATTCCCAAGCACATGTGAACTCCCAGTGTTTTGGATGTGGCGTTATGGACCTGATTATATGACTGCCAATTATAAATCCTTAGGTGCTTGTCTTGCAGACATTTCATACTTAAAAGTATCCAAAGTTGAACTCACCATCTTTTTTCTAAATCTGTTTCTCTATTCTTTATTTTGATGAATGCTACCACCATTCACTGAGTCACCCAAGCCGAAATCTAGAAGTCAGTCAAGGCTTTTTGCTTTCTTCCTCCCTCAATCTAACTGGTTATCAGGTTCTATAGATCCTAAAATCCATTTCCTCCTTTTCATTATCAGTAACTCTTGTCTGAATCACCACCTCCTGTCTTGCTCCATCCACTCCAACTTCCACACTGTTGGTCCTCATTTTGCTAAAACACAAGATAGACCAGGCCATTGCCCTGTATAAAATTCTTTAATGGTTTTGTATATCTTGTCTTCTTTTTTTCATTGCTCTCTCCCAGTTCTTTCATGATCAAGCTCAGGCCCACTGGCTTCAGGGCAAACATGGCTACTTCTTACCAGCCTGCCATGATTACCCTGTGGAATTAAAATGTCTCTCCTGAGTGCTCCCAGACTCCAAAATGCATGGCTTTTCAGTGTTCATTCCATTGCTCTGTAATCACACTGTCCTCTCATTGGACTTTGAGCTCCCTGAAGACAGGCATCATGTCTTATCATTGCTGTAAATCACACCATGATGGTTAAAAGAAGGATTAGTCTTATATCTACATGAGACATGCTAAATAGGAAAAAAGAGATATGATAGGGTGAAAAACAAAAAGAAGAGAAGGAAGAAAACCTAACTCTGCCTTAGTCTATGATGCCCATCTGTGTCCTTGCCACCAACTGGGCAAATGTAAGGAATACTGCTGATGGAAAAACATTGCTTGGTATTGAGGAGATATCAAATGGGCCACACCAATGAGTAATCCGTATGGACGTCTAAGGATGATTTACAAATATCACACTGAAACCATTGCTCTCTGATTCAGCAATCCAAAACTACTGAGCACCAGCTATGTGATAGCACTCCTCCAAAGAAAGCAGAGCCATATTAGGAGCCTATGTGGTCATAATCTGTTAGAAAGCCTGGCCCTCTGATGGCCAAAAGTGTTCCAATATATATGTAGAGAAAAAAAATTAAATATTTTATTTATTTATGAGTGAGAGAAGAGAGAGAGAGGGAGAGAGAGAGACAAGAGGGGCAGAGGGGGAGGGAGAAAGAATCTGAAGAAGATTCCACGCTGAGTAGAGGCCAATGCAGGGCTGAAACCGACGACAGTGAACCCATGACCCAAGAGTTGGCCATTTAACTAACTGAGCCACCTTGGTGCCCCTAGAAAAAGTTTCTTTTCTTTTTTAATTTTTATTTATTTATGATAGTCAGAGAGAGAGAGAGAGAGAGAGAGAGAGAGAGGCAGAGACACAGGCAGAGGGAGAAGCAGGCTCCATGCACCGGGAGCCTGACGTGGAATTTGATCCTGGGTCTCCAGGATCGCGCCCTTGGCCAAAGGCAGATGCTAAACCGCTGCGCCACCAGGGATCCCTAGAAAAAGTTTCTTAAATGATATTTCTAAATAGTAAGGATTAGGACCACTAGTCCTATTCACTTAGGTCATTCCAATGGTGTCCCAGTGTACTTACTAATAGTGCTCCTTCTCAGTCTCAAGTGTCCCATTTGACTGATAAATTGTTTGGACATTCTGTCCATAAGGATCAAGCTCAAGAGTCAAATGGGTAGTCAAATGACAACTGGAATCTGATTTTTGGATTCAAAGAATTTCACCATACACTGGCACTATATAAATATTTTCTTTTTTTTTCATGATGACAGAGAAAAATCTATTCCATACAACTCATTTTTGCCTTCCTCATACCACACCTTTCCCTGAAGATCATGCCAGAACCTGGATAGTCCACTGTGGCGTATTGAAGTAAATGGTACCTTTGAAATACATTTTAAAAATATGTCTACATTTAGAGTTTAGTTCCTTCTCTATTTTTGAGGAAGTTGCTAGGGGTAGTCTTCCATGTTGACAGGGACAATTTCTGAGGGAAGAGTATAGGGTTGAGAGGAGGATAGGGAAGAATAAAATCACAGTAATCATGTTCAAGTCCTCTGACTTGTCCTGTCACCATAGGTGACCTTGTAATAATGCCTTTCTCTTGGAGTACATGCAAATGACAACTCTGGTGGCAGCACAGTCTGCCCACAGTCTGCCCACCTGTATTAATCAGAAACCACTTGCTAAGGGAAGAACTGAATGTTCAGACCACATTCAGTTGTACTGATGGTTCTTGGAGTGGATCATGCAGCTTGCCCCCATGGGGATCAATTAATGCTGAGATTGTCAATGGCTCAGCATAGATTTCCTCTCCCATTGGCTTATCAGATTCAGCCAAGCCCAGCAGTTAGCCCCTGAAAGAGCAGTACCCTCTTCTGCTTCTTTAATCACTCCAAGCAGCTTACCTGAAGGCCCATTGCTAATTGAGTGATTTTGTGGCCCTAATTTGCCATACCTGGAACTAAACTGATTATTTCTCCTATTCTGTGGCACTTGGGAAGAAAAAGAAGAAAATGCTACCCAATTGGGGGCTCTGAGTTTTCACTAGAGAACACAAAACTTAAAGGAATTTGGGCTGAAGAGACAAAGGATGCCATGTAACAAAAGGACAAGAGAAAAACTTCAGTAGATAGAACACAACATACTGCCCCTGGGGAGAACTAGAACAAGCAGTAGTGAAGCATGTTCTGGAGGTACCTGCTGTTCCCTGACAAGGGGCTAACACCTGCCAGTGTGTGCTCAGGCTGATGGGTACAAATAACTAGCAAGCAAAATCACACTGTTGTGTTTCTGGCCAGTAAATAAGGAAAATGCATAAACTAAGGTATTGAGAAACAATGGAACATAGGGCACTTAATCTTGAAAGAAGCATAAATGACAGATTACAAAAAATTTAAGACATCTATAGGTACCTAAAAATGACTATAAAAAATGTGTGTGCCTATATACAAGAATGTAGGGCAAAGGCTCCTCCAGAATGTTTTCCCATCACATAATCCTCAACAACAAAAGAAATGGGAAGTATGTATTTTGTGTAGTAATCTTATTTCTGCAAGGAATAGAAAATCACTAAAAATACAAAGAAAAATATTAAAAGCCCATAAAAGGGACACACTTGTAGAAATAGAGGAAATTTTATTCAAATGCTAAAAAGAAATCTAAGGAAAAAAGATTTTCTCTCCAAAACTGGCTATGGAAGAAATAAGAAATACTTTAACTCTCTAGGCTTTGTGATCAAAACTTCTCAAACAATGACCTATCTAAAACTATGAATAGCATAAACTATGAAATGAGCAAAAGGCCAAATTCTTATACCCCAATAATGATGCAATCAGTATTTATCAGTAGGAGAGGATTTATTTTACAAACGGCATGTGAACGCAGCATGAGAAATGTGTCAATTGAACCAATGAGATGACATATTTATGGAAACCATAGAAGTCTATGAAAACTGATGAGGCACAAAAGCCTAGTTTGAAAAAAAGTATGTGCCACCATTCAGAAGTTGCTTCAATTTTTTAATAATTGAAATTTACGTGCACCAGCCCACTTGCACGCTTTGTTCTTCTTGAACTAAACTGTTTTCTTGTAGCCTCATGTTTACTGAAGCCTAAAATTAGAACTGACAGCAATTCACTGCAACAAAGTGGGCTTCCTCCCCTGCCCGTCCGCCTGCAGCCCATGTCCCATTCATGCCCTAGAAATCCACTCATCTCTCGGTGGTCATCTGCCAAGAGAAGAAAAATAGGGCAGAGATGAAAACATGTCGTTCAGGCAGGGGAGTTGAGAGCAAACCTGCTGGCTTCCCCCTTCCCCCAGTGCCCCCCATCAGGACCTCACCTCTGTACTGCTGGTCCTCGCCCTTGTCCTCCTGCGACACATCTGACGCCTCCAACAAGAGTTGGTCCAGCACTTGCTTGCACTCTTGCAGTAGTGTAGCTATAGCTTTTTGATTATTCATGATAATTACTCTTCCTCAATGATGAGTCAAGTGTCCCCGGGTCTATGGTGATCAATTACTCAGAAGAAGACATCGATTCTCAATAAAAGAGTCCCTTCAAGGCGGAGGTACCTGGTGAACAAAGGCGGGAGAAAGATGATTAACTGAAGCATCATCAATTATCTGTAAGACTCAAGCAGGGAGGGATAATAGGGCAAACACATGAAAATACATGACAGCCCCTGAAGACTTTATTAGGGGAGTGTGTGAAATTACTGCAGGGCCTGGTCTAGATGGGCAGCACCTCGAAGGCGTCAGAGAGCAGAAGGGAGAGGCTCCTCGTGCAGACCTTGGTTACCCGCAGTGATGTCAGTGGAATCCCACGAAGCCAAATGAAATGAATATACCCTATGATTTATGTATCTCCTGCATACTTTACATCAGTGTCTCTGGATCCCAGTGGCACCACACTTTCTGTCTGTCTGGAAGTCTACAGGAAGCATCTGGCTAACAGTTCTAATATTCAGATACAAGCCCATGGTGATACGAAGTTTACCATTCTCATAACCCACTACTGATTTCCCCTGTGAAGTATTCTTCATGGTACTTAGCATCATATAATTTGGACCAAGATAGGCAATGACAGATGCCAAATTTAAAGCTCTTCACAGTCAGGCAGGTTGCCAAATAAAATAGAGAAATGGTATCTTAGATAACTCAATTTCCTAGATCTATCATATGGATGAGTTTATCATATGGATGGGTGAATCTACTTATATTGGTATTTAACATAAGTACAGTTGAGAGATTTCATATGTAAATGTGAATATGCTGTAATAATCTATGGCAGTCAAGGTAATTTAAAGAACAAAATAAATTACTGACAGTACAAAAATGCCTGGCAAATAAATACCAGAAAGTCACTAGATTAACATATCTTTTTGTCTGCCTTCCCTTTATTAAAGAATGTACATTGTAAATAAAACAAACTTCCTTTTGTTTTGTTTATAATGAACAAATGAAACAAAGAAACTCTTTCTGAGTTTGTCAGAATAGAATGTGGAGCTGCTGTCTGGTTTAGACACCCTTAGAGGGCACATAGAATTTTATTACCAAAGCAAGAGAGTCTGAAAGGGAAGAGAGTAACAGATAAATGGATGGCTCCAGTCCCTTTGTCTTCTAACTTAATACATGCAATGAAGTAATCATTGAAAATCTTAAAGCTGTGAATTATTTTGTAAGTGTTGGATAAAAAGGCCAAACTTTAAGAAGCTAGTTTTGAATTTCAAAAAGCAAGATAACATTTTTTCTACTTTTTTTTATTCTAAGACTTAACAGGAACACAAAATGAAGGATGAGCTAATTGTATAATCTACACTTTTCATTTTTCATTCTAACGTGACTGGTATACTCTATATGCTTTGGATTTAAACACACACACACACATTCTTTACACAGATAAACTGCCAAAACAAAATTTTAGGATGTTACAGGCTTGTTTCATTAAAATAATTGTGTATTGTTGGTGAAGAATATGAGTATTTGAATACAAAATTCTTATGACTTGAAAGAATATTCACAAAAGTTGAGATCATAAACCACCCCCCCAAAAAAAAAGCTGAGATCGTGAGGAATTAGTTACTAGAAACATTTAAGCATAACTATAAATTAAATTTCTCTTCTGTGTGAGACGTTTGAGAAAGTAGTCCTGTATGGTTTGGGTTGTTGGACTAACTGGTTTTCAATGTTCCTTTTAGCTCAAGTGTTTTTAAGTCAATGTTGTGTAGTAAGAGCTGACCATTAGCTTGTCTTTCTACGAAAGGAATCAAGAAGTAAGGCCTGGTCAGAGAGCTAATTAGTGGACTAGTGTGTGTAAGAAGCCATGTAGCTATGGCATTTCATTCCCACCATTCTTGAAAAAGGGAGATGTGGCTAGAATGGGAGGTTAGTATGGTGATTGAGAAATGCAGTTGGTGATTGGGAAAGTTAACAAACTTTGCTTGAAATTATCTATGGGTGAATAGGACACATTCCCCTTTCTTCAAATAAAACCAAGAAGGAGGTTCTTTTTGTTCTAGGATCCTTTTTAGTACTTCGTGTAGAAAGAGGGGTATAATAAGAAAATATGAAGAGTTCATGCACAAAAAAATAATACTGTACTGTAATATACTTTTACATCATCCCTTTGTCTAAAAGGCATATAGTAATGTTTTATTGGTGCCATATTATCCTTTTAAGGTAGAAAGCTGTCTTTTGTTATACTGAAAAATTAAAATAAATCTTAATTGCTCTGTTTCTGTAAATGTTTAAACAGAAATAGCATGTAGTAATAAAAAGCAGACTTGGTTATAGGAAAACTGTTACATATAATAGTGTTCAACAGATATTTGTGACTAATTCTATTTCATTCTCATCTTTAAGTATTTGTGATACCTTTGAGATTCACTTTGAGACTCATTTTTCTTCTCTGTATTTTATGGGGGTTAAGTGGGAATAATTGCTAATATATTTCTAGGTCTTAAATTACATACTCAGCAGCCTATCTATTGCTGAAGAACATCTGATACTTATTTACTGAATAATTCCTGGCTCTTTTGAGAACACTTAAGTATAATATTTTTATGTACACTTTTTTCTGTGGTTTAGAAATGTTGACTTGAATCTTAGAGGCGGATTACTAAATAAATATAACTCTGCTTTTGTTCCCTCACTTGAAACCCGGATGCCTAATGCACAGGATCATAAATCTCCTCCTTTTGTCTAAGTGCTGTGAAAGAGAGATAAGCTATGTGGTTCTGTGAGGGAAAACAACAGGACTTGACCTAATAATTTGGGTAAAACAAGAGAAGGTGAATGGGGGATTCCCTAGGGATGTGATGTTGGAATTAAACTCTGTAAGAAGAACAGGGCTTAATGAAGTTAAAATGGTGAAGAACAGCCCTGATGTAGAAAGAAATATAGAGGAAATGAAAGAAGGCCAAATTAGTCAACCTAGAGATAAAAGGAGAAAGTTGATATGGGGTGAGTTTGGAGAGTTAAGTAGGGGTTGTTCAGGTTGTTTAGCTGGCACCTGTGTGCCAGGTAAGGAATTTTGTGTTTACCCTGTCATAGGACACTACTGGTAGCAGGAGGAACATGAGCAGATTTGCATCTGGAAACATTCATTCTGTTTGGATTGTAGCGTATATTAGAGGAAGAGAGGAAGAAGGTGATTGCAGGTAGATCAGTTGGGCATTTATTGCAATAATCCAGGTGAGAAATATCAGATCACCAGACCAAAGTAATAGAGATACAGAAAATTGGACAAATTTGAGGGCTGTTTAGAGAATAAATGCAGTATTGCTGTTGGATGGATATGAATGTCCTTGAAAGGAATCCTGAGTTTTTTTTTACTTTACCATAGCTCAAAGTGGAATGGATAATTTTATCATACTTTGAGACAAGGAACATAGAAGAGATCTTCTAGGAAAAGATATAAATACATCTTACATTTTGTATTTCTAGCAATAAAGATAGTAAGGAAGATAGGTCATACTGTCCAGAATAAGCAATTGGATTTTATTTTATTTTATTTTTATTTATTTATTTTTTTTAGCAATTGGATTTTAACCAAGAAAGTATTTCTAAAAAAACAAAAAGAGATTTCTGAGATAATTAATATTTAGTACTTGTGACTTCCCAAAATGTACTGAGGATATTCTTTATACTTTTTGAAAGTTATAGCATTTTCTCTTTTCCCTGCAGAATTCAGGAAAGACAATAGGAAAAAAATACTGTAACATGAGAAACACTTTGGAATCCAACCATCTGTCCAGACTTGTATGGTTCATTGTTAAGCATAACAGAGGCTGAAGCCTAGGAAATTTTCCTTCAGGCAACAGTCCTGCTGGAAATTGTGGTCAGCTTCCTTTATAAAAGAATCATTTTCAATTTCAAAACATAACAATTTTTGCTCCCTGAACTGTGGCATTCTGTGAGCTGTACTTATTTCTAAATTGAAGAACGTTAGCTTCCCTATATTTTTTGTAATGTATGGATTAGTTTTTCTATTTTGACATCCCCCTATATATTTTTTCTAAAAATTAAACAGAAAGAGGTCAGCAAAAGCAATAGGACATACAAGTAGATACCTTTAGAATAACACTAGATACCCAACAAAGTTTAGAATCTAAGGCACACAGGCATACCCATAGCCAAATGATCACGTGTTCATACATTCCATGTTTGATTTTGATACCTGTGTACTTCATTTCTATTGGTGACCTAGAATTTAACTGAGTGGCTGAGTTACAATTGACAAATCAGCAATCATTAAAAGTTTTATTCAAAGCCCCATTTCTTTTGGAATTCGTGAATTTTTTTTCCTTGGACAATTAGTACCCAGATGGGGGATAAATTAGGGAAAATAAAAGAATTCCAAAGGTATTCCATGGTCTACCTGCTGACATTCTGAAATAATCCACTGGCCATCTACTCATAATTCTTAAACTAGAAGATGTGGGGAAGATAAAGAAGTAGGAAAGATGGTCTATACTGTCAAGGAGTTTATAAATTACAAGAATAAGACATAAATACTTTGAAATGAACCACACAAGGCATACTTAACATGATTATAGTCCAAAAGCTCAGTCTAAAATATCTTTGTTGGAATTCAATTAATGACCAGTTAGATTCATAAGCAAACCCACAGAGCTCATTTAATTCATATGTACATAAATAATTACACTAAACATACTTTTTGATCTACATTCAAAATCACTTATCATATTGCTTCTATGAGAAAATGAATTCTGGTCTCCAACATAGAAAAACAAAATGCATTTCTCCAATCAGTCACTAGCAATGACAATCCAGCTTTTTTCCACCCTTTCACCCTCCCCTGAGTAACCCTACACACAAACTCTGACCATACTGCCTCTGGTACTGGTTGGTGCAAGTAGGGAAACAAAAGGAGAAAGAGAAGTCTGATTGGAGTGTAAGACAACTGTGTGCCTTGGATAGATATTTCTGGGTAATGGCCATTGTTAGCATTTTAAAACTGAATAGAAAGGGAGAAGAGAAGGCAACTCTAAGTCACCAAAACCTGAAAGAGTAGACTTCTATTTCTAGCAGTATGGAAGTCTAAACATCCT